GTGGGCATCCCTGCCGCGGTGGCTAGACTGTCTGGGCCAGCTCTGCTGGAGGTTCCAACCTCTGCTGTCCCCAAGGGGTGCGGAGCAATGGGGGTGACTGAAAGGAGTTGGGTTTGAGTAGCCCCAAAGCAAAAGCTCCACCCCTGCCCCCCATAAAGTGCATCCCCACCCTGGGCCAGCTGGGGCTGAGCGGGGCAGCCCAGCCACTGCTCCCACATCTGCCCATCCCCATCCCCTCCAGGTGGGGAACTACAAGCGCACGGTGAAGCGGATTGACGACGGGCACCGGCTCTGCAATGACCTCATGAACTGTGTGCACGAGCGGGCCAAGATCGAGAAGTCCTACGCCCAGCAGCTCACCGACTGGTCTAAGCGGTGGAGGCAGCTCATCGAGAAAGGTACCGTGGGTGATCCAGGGGAGGCTCCCCCCGGAATGCCTGGGTGCCACAGGGCCCCGTGCACCATCGCAACTTCCCCTGGTAGAGGTGGAGGGGGTAAGGGCTGTGGAGTGACACTCAGCTGTCCCCCCAGGTCCCCAGTATGGCAGCCTGGAGAAGGCGTGGGGGGCCATCATGACGGAGGCGGACAAGGGGGGCGAGCTGCACCCGGGGGGGAAGAACATTTTTTTTATGACTTCGAGAAAGTCAAGAACTGGCAGAAGGATGCCTACCACAAGCAGATCATGGGAGGCTTCAAGGAGGCCAAGGAGGCTGAGGATGGCTTCCGGAAAGCCCAGAAGCCTTGGGCCAAGAAGCTCAAGGAGGTGAGTGGAGAAGCGCAGCGTGTCCTGGGGCACCAATGCCATCTCCTGGGTGTCGGTGCAGGGTGGGAGAGCTGGGTGGCACATCCCTGCAGGCTCTGACATCCCTTCTCTCTCCTCTCCACAGCTGGAGACAGCCAAGAAAGCCTACCACCTGGCCTGCAAGGAGGAGAAGCTGGCGATGACCCGTGAAGCCAACAGCAAGGCAGAGCAGTCCAACACCCCCGAGCAGCAGAAGAAGCTCCAGGACAAGGTGGAAAAGTGCAAGCAGGACGTACAAAAGGTGCGAGCTGCTGCCCTGCTATGGGCTCACGAGGCATTGGGCAGGGAAAACCAGGGGAAATGGCCACCACCATCCTTTTACCCCATTCATTCCCATTTTCCCTTCTCTCTGCTCTGGCAGAAGGGCAAGGATTTGCAGGCAGTGCTCAGGGGAGCGTCAATGGGGCAGAGATTCACTCCTCTTATTAGGGCAAAATCTCTCCAGCAACAAGGCTGATTTCACCTCACAGAGGCTCTTGGCCCAATCTGGGCTCCCCAACGTGGTGGCCCCCAAGCCAGACCCTCTCAGCACCCAGAAAGGGCCTCTGAGGTGCTTGAGGTGTAACCAAGGCACCCTCCCGCACCTTTGCAGGCTCAGGAGAAGTACGAGAAGGTGCTGGATGAGCTGAACAAGTGCACCCCGCAGTACATTGAGAGCATGGAGCAGGTTTTTGAGCAGTGCCAGCAGTTTGAGGAGAAGAGGCTCAATTTCCTCAAGGAAGTGCTCCTGGACATCAAGAGGCACCTGAACCTGGCCGAGAGCAGCAGGTAGGTGCCTCCCGTGCTGGCTGGGCACAAGGTGCCCACACAAGGTCTCCTTGTCCTGCCTGGAAAGCAAAGCAGGCCCTGGAGGGAGTGGGTGCTTCCAGGGCAACCCATCCCCTGCAGTACAAGGGAGAAGGGGTGCTGGCCAACACCACGGTCACCAAGAGGTACCAGAGTGGCAGAGCCTAGAGCCCCCCAGTGCCTTGTAGGAGGTGACACAACTCCTGGGCCTGTCCCCATCCCACCCCATCCCCTCAGAGTGGAGTCCAACCCACCCGCAGCACCCCAACCCACGTCTCTCCCTGCAGCTACGCCAACGTCTACCGGGAGCTGGAGCAGACCATCCGCCTCTCGGACGCGCAGGAGGATCTCCGGTGGTTCCGCAGCACCAGCGGCCCCGGCATGCCCATGAACTGGCCCCAGTTCGAGGTGAGACTGGGCACCCCAGCTGGGATGCTGGCAGGCCCGCGGGGGGCCGGGCGCTCCGGGGGCC